ATATATATACAGACGTATATGTTTGTACATAGCGTATACACATGATATATATATATATATGAATGTGTATAGTATGAATAAACTATCTACAAATATATATATATATATTATATGCATATTTATAGACAATAGAAAAGCATTTGAAGGCCCTAAAAGCAAATAAACGCACACGCTGTATGCCGCTGCGGTGTATTCACAGCTGCATGCAGCAACTAAGGAAGGAGACATTAATACAACTCATTTGCTGCTGTTGCTGTATCCGCAACCAAGCAGCAGCAGCAGCAACAACAGAAGCAGCAGCAGGAACAGCAACAGCAGCAGCAGCAGCTGAAGCAGCAAAAGCAGGAACAGAAGCAGCAGCAGCAGCAATAACAACAACAGCAGCATACAGCCACAGGCCCTAAGACCTAAAAGAAAGGATTATGTTTTCGTTCGAGTTGGGGTTGCGCCTGCAACCCTAAACCCTAAACCCTAAACCGTAAACCGTAAACCCTAAACCCTAAAAATGTTGAGGGTTTAATAGGATCCACTGATTTCGCTGTTTGCTTCAGAAGAGACGCTGAAGAGCTGGTGCTTTGGATAAGGAAATAAAATATTGCTTGAAGTGTTGATAGGTTTGCTGCTGCTATTTTTGTGTCTGCCTCTGTAGCTGCTGTTGCTGCTGATACTCCTATTGCTGCTGCTGCTGCTAGCAATATGTCTTCGTCTGTGTGCTCCTTTCGCAGCTCTCTTCGGGTCTAATGAATTATTATTAAATTGATTTTTATTATTCTTCTCTCTATCATCTGAATGTAGCATCTGAATAAACGCTGGGTCTGCTTCGCTGTATGCATAGCCGCTGTAATACCGAGGAGAGAAGGCACCTTTATCCCAGTCGCAGCTCTGTAAAACAACAAAAACAAATTAAAATAATAATAATAATTATTATTATTATTTATTTATTAATCTAATCAAAATTATCTATCTATCTATATATATATGTATATATATATATATTAATCATACTCTAATTATTAAAAATATATAATTATCTAGTCTTGTGAATTCATAGAGACGCAACCTTATATTATAGTATATTATATTATATTATATTATATTATATTATATTATATTATATTACATTATATTATATTATATTTATATTATATTATATTACATTATATTATATTATATTATATTATATTATATCATATTATTATTTTATAGTACATACATATATATAATAAAGAAACAGTATATATAAATATAAATATATATATATAAATATATATATATATATATTAGAAAGACATATTATATAAACAAGGATATAATAAAAACAAAAACGGACGCCCAAAGAGAAAGACCGAGAGACAAACAAAACAAACAAATAAAACAAAGACAGGAAAATGTATATATATAAAAAATATAAAATAAACAAATAAATAAATAAATATATATATATATATACGAGTAAAACAAATAAACAAAAAAGAGAGACAGAGAAATACTTACTGCAAGCGCATCGTCATCTGCTGCTGCACCTGCTTCTTCATCTGCTGCTGCTCCTGCTGCTGCTACGCTTGAAGTAATAGAAGAAGGCTCTGGCATGAAGGAGACAGAGACTTCTCTGGGTCTATTCTTTGCTGCATCTGCTGCTGCTGCTGCTGCTGCTGCTGCTGCTTCGAATATGTCTCCCCGCTGCTGCTGCTGCTGCTGCTGTGCAGCAGCAGCATTAGAGTGAGCCTCTAATCCATATAACTTTAAATACTCCTGCAACAAAACCAAACAAATGCTCTTCAAAAGATATTTAAAAAGAAACAAATAAAGAAATAAAGACAGACAAACAGTTGTGTTTATATATATATATATATATATATATATTCATATATATATATATAATTATATATATATAATTATACATAAACACAAACAAATAAAGAGACAAAAGGAGACAGCAGAAGAGACAGAAAGAGAGAGAAGAAGAGACAGCGAGAATAAAAAGAAAGATAGAGATAGAGAGACAGAGACAGAGACAGAGACAGAGATATAAACAGATTTAAACAGACAGAGATATAAACAGATTTAAACAGACAGAGAAAGAACAAACAAACAACAAAAAAAGAAAAATAAACAGAGACACAGATAAAGAAACAATGAGAGAGTAAGGAGCAGCAGCAGCACCATCAGCAGCAGCACCACCATCAGCAGCAGCAGCACCATCAGCAGCAGGATCCTCAGCAGCAGCAGCAGCAGCAGGATCATCATCATCAGCAGCAGCAGGATCCTCAGCAGCAGCAGCACCATCAGCAGCAGCAGGATCAACAGCAGCAGGATCAGCAGCAGGATCAGCAGCAGCAACAGAAGCAGGATCAGCAGCAGCAGCAAGAGCAGCATAATGAAGTAGATGTTGTCATACAGTTTGCTGTACTATATGATGCAGCTCAGGCCTGAAGGAAACTTTGAAGGACTTCCACGCCCAGTCTCTTATTAAACAAAGTGTAGGTACAGTTAACATCGTTATTATTGATGCAGGAGCAGCATAAATATATAAGGTGTATATACACCCTAATATCGAACTCGCAAAGCCAGGCCAGGAGGAGAAACCAAACATAAATAATAAACAAGCAAATAAACTGCAGCAAACATACACAAAAATATATATATATATATATTATTTATTTATTTATGTTGCTGCAGCAGCAGCAGGATCAGCAGCAAATGCGGCAGCAGATGCAGCAGCAGATGCAGCAGCAGATGCAGCAGCAGATGCAGATGCAGCAGTAATATATATATAAATGGTGCTGCAGCAGCAAAAACAGATGCAGCAGCAGCGGCATATGCAGGAGCAAGAGCAGCAGGAAAAGCAGCAGCAGCAGCAGCAGCAGCAGCAGGGGGAAAAGAAACGTCCGAGGAGGGACAAACAGCAGCAAAAGCAACAGCAGCAGCAGCAGCAGCAGCAGCAGCAACAGCAGCAACGCAAGCAGCAACAAAAATGGCAACAACACAACTACCAGCAGCAACAGCAGCAACAGCAACAGCAGCAACAGCAGCAGCAGCAGCAGCAGCAGCAGCAGCAGCACCTGACGGCGAAGCCCGCCCATACGATGCAGTTAAGATAAGAAGTCTCTAAGAGAACTTTTATATTAACAACAATCATATTTAATGCAAACACCAACATCCCTGTCATCCATAAGTCAAAAGGCTGCACGCACAAACCCTAAACCCTAAACCCTAAACCCTAAACCCTAAACCCTAGTCCCTAGACCCTACAATATTAATAATAATAATAATAATAATAATAATAATAATAATAATAATAATAATAATACTAAAGGAATACGACAATCGTTATAAAGATAACAGTCCAAATAAAAGATTAAAATAAAAATAAAAATAATAATAATAATAACTAATTAATTTTATATAATGTCCTTTTACAGCAGAAACAGAAAAAAGACCACAGAGCAAAGACAATAAAAAATATTTTTTAAATACGTAAAAAGATAAAAACGAGTAGAATAATAATAAAGATAATAAAGATAATAATGAAGATAAAGATAATAAAGATAATAATAAAGATAAAGACAATAAAGATAATAATAAAGAGAATAAAAATAAAGATAATAATAAAGAGAATAAGAATAAAGATAATAATAAAGATATAAAACAATAAAGATAATAATAAAGATATAAATAATAAAGATAATAATAAAGATATAAATAATAAAGATAATAATAAAGATATAAATAATAAAGATATAAATAATAAAGATAATAATATAATAAATCTTACTTGTCCTTCTAACGTAGGAACAGAGTAAAACCCGAAAGCAACAAGAGGTACAGCAAAGACAACAGCTGCATGCCACAAGCCTGTCGCTACCCATCGAAGAAAAACATTAAAATTTAAATAATATTCTTGAGGACCGCAGCGATAAAGCTGAGGATACACCAGAGAAAGACGTTTGTCTACGTCTTGGTCAAAGATGCCGTATAAAGTTATCGGTATCTGCATGCAATACATACACACACTCAAAGAAAAATATACTTTCAATAGCTAGCTAGCTAGATAGCTAGCTAGCTAGCTAGATAGATAGATAGATAGATAGATAGACAGATAGATAGATAGAGAGACAGGTTGATAGCCAAACAGCTAGCTACATAGCTAGCTAGCTAGCTAGCTAGATAGATAGATAGATAGATAGATACACACATAGCTAGCTAGCTAGATATATAGATAGACAGATAGATAGACAGATAGCTAGGCGGGTAGACAGCCACCTAGATAGCTAGCTAGCTAGCTAGGCAGCTAGCTATACAAGCAGACAGCTGGGTGGCACAACAGACAGTTAGCTAGCCAGCTAGCCAGACACACAGAGAGAGACAGCTAGCTAGCTAGACAGACATACAGACAGCTAGCTCGCTAGCCAGACGCACAGAGAGAGACAGCTAGCTAGCTAGACAGACATACAGACAGCTAGCTCGCTAGACAGACATACAGACAGCTAGCTAGCTAGACAGACATACAGACAGCTAGCTCGGTGCATTGCTTGTTATCTGCTTAGCTCTTTAGGGTTTAGGGTTTCGATATCTCACATCAGTAAACACGATGTTATACATTTGATAGACATAAGGGTTTAGGGTTTAGGGTTTAGGGTTTAGGGTTAGTAAATATACTTACGGCAGTGAAGACAACATTATACATTTGATAAAGAAGTTCAAAGTAAAACTTTTGAGACGAGAAGAGAGAGAAGGCCCCGTAGAAAAACATCGGCAGCACTAAAACTAAGTTCTTATAAAACATATAAAGCACAAGACGCGATATTCTGCGGTAATTCCATCGTCCGTGTGCTAACAGTAAAGGCTGTAGATAGCGAAATTGACTAAGGCCGTAGTCAGAGGTCTGCAGAACCAATATAAACATGTAAATATATATATATATATATATATATATTTAACTAGTAATTCGTTTGTTTATCTGATTGTTTATTCACATTCACCGCACTTTATTTAATTAGTTTTATTATTTATTTATTTATTTATCTAATAGTAAAGGCTGTAGATAACGAAATTGCATAAAGCCGTAAATATAAATATAAATATATCTATTTAATCAGTAATTAATATGTTTATATATATACGTCGTATATATAATCTATATAAATATATGCATGCAAATATATTTATTTTTTCATCCAGGTAATTTTAAAGAAATATATATCTGATGTACAATTACTCACGGTATAGTCGGAGGTCTACATAAATATAGACAAAATTAATTAACTAAATTAAACAAATATATACATGCGGATATATTATAAATATATATATTATATATACCTCAATCCAAATAAACAGAACAAATAAATGAAGTTTCTTTAATCAACTAAGGGCCCTGTGTAGGGATAAGAAGACGGCCTTTAAGAACGAGGGTTTAGGGTTTAGGGTTTAGGGTTTACGTTGAAGGCTTGCATTCCTTCTTCTCCTCTCAATCCAACGCCAACATCTGCTGCTTGTATCATATTACAGTCGTTTGCCCCGTCTCCTATTGCTAGGGTTACCTCTCCTGTTAGTTTCTTTAAAAGAGAAACCACCGCCCCCTGCACAAACCCTAAACCCTAAACCCTAAACCCTAAACCCTAAACCCTAAACCCTCAACCCTAAGGTCTAAGCAACGATACATATTGATGAATAACTTTTAATTACTACAAGGAGTTGCGTCTGCTTATGGATGAAAGTAAGCGTGAGGGTTTAGGGTTTAGGCAGTTAAGTGTTGAGGGTTTAGCGTTTAGAGGGCTACAGGTTTGCAGGGTTTAGGGTTTATGCTTATTTAAAGCTTCGGATTTATGAGCGCTTAGGTGTGTTTAGGATAAATTAGGGTTTAGGGTTTAGGGTTATTTAGGGTTATTTAGGGCTATTTAGTGTTATTTAGGGTTATTTAGGGTTATTTAGGGTTTAGGGTTTAAGGTTATTTAGGGTTTAGGGTTTAGGGTTATTTAGGGTTATCTAGGGTTTAGGGTTTAGGGTTATTAAGGGTTATTTAGGGTTAATTAGGGTTTGCCTTTTGATAAGGAGTAACTCTGCTGCAGATAACGGTTTTGCATTCAGTACAGATAGCAGCAAACTGCAAGGAGATGTCGGGTTCAAGAAGAACAGCAAGTGCATCGCCGTCAACGATAAGAGCTCTTTGATATGTTTCAGCATAATTTGTTTGAATAGTTTGCTGTTTATTTCTGCTGTTGCTGCTGCTGCTGTTGCTGCCACCTTGCTGCTGCTGCTGCTGCTGCTGCTGCCGCCGCTGTCGCGCTATCATCCTCAGGTCTTGATGCAATTTATTTACAAGCTTCTCTCTATTTTGCTGCAGCTCCTCCCAAATATAACAAATTCTTTGCATGCCTTCAGATAATAAAGACGTCGCTACTGCGATATTCACCGCAGTTTCCACTTTATCCCCCGTCAGCATCCACACCTGCATGCAAAACGCATGCAATATGCATGCGATATGTGCATGCGATATGTGCATGCAATATGCATGCAATATGCATGCAATATGCATGCTGTATGTCTGCAATATGTATGCAAAATGCATGCATCTTGCATGCAACATGCATGCAAAACGCATGCAATATGCATGCAATATGCATGCAATATGCATGCAGTATGCATGCAATATGCATGCAGTATGCATGCAGTATGCATACAGAGTGCATGCAGAGCGGCAATAGGATAATAAGCCCCCAACAGAGCGTAGTAATAAGCAGTGGTAAACCCTAACAAACAATAAACCCTAATAAACCCTAATAAACCCTAATAAACCCTAATAAACAATAAACCCTAATAAACCCTAATAAACCCTAATAAACCCCGGTAAACCCTAATAAACCCTAATAAACCCTAATAAACCCTAATAAACCCTAATAAACCCTAATAAACCCTAATACACCCTAATAAACCCTCCTAAACCCTCATAAACCCTAATAAGCTCTAATAAGCTCTAATAAACCCTAATAAACCACAACAAACCCTAATAAACTCTAATAAACCCTATAAACCCTAATAAACCCTACTAAACCCTAGAACAAAACAAAGAAGATGAAGATAATGCTTACTTTAATGCCTGCTTGTCTGAGCTTTTCAATCGTCATGCCGACGTCTTCTTGCAGTTTGTCTTCGAGGCCCGTTATACCCTGCAACTCCAAATCTTTTTCTAGTAACTCCGCGACTCTGTATGCACACAATAAAAGATATTTAAAGGTATTTAAACATATTTAAACATATTTAAACATATTTAAATAAGATATGTAAAGAAATCAAGAGGTTAAAAGATATTAAAGGAGGTTAAAAGATATTAAAAGGAGACAAAAATATAATAATAGACAAAAAGATATTAAAGGACGTATAAAGAGATAAAAAGATATAAGCAGCAGCAGCAGCAACACCAGCAGCAGCAGCAACACCAGCAGCAACACCAGCAGCAGCAGCAGTAACACCAACACCAGCAGCAGCAGCAGCAGTAACACCAGCAACAGCAGCAGCAGCAGTAACACCAGCAACAGCAGCAGCAGCAGCAGCAGCAGCAGGAGCAGCAGGAGCAGCAGCAGCAGCATCATCATGAGGATGAGTTGCATACTCTTCTAATTTTTTTTGTCTATCAACAGTAGTATTTTCAGCTTCTTCATAAAGTTTAAACCACTGTATGAAGGCTTCTTTCTGTATTTCTCTTTGAGCAATGCAGAGAGTTCGTAGACCGTCTCTAGCGTAGTCGCTCATTGCTGCTATCATCTCTTCTTCTACGGGGCCTACGTGCTTTAAGAGAGGTAATATAACAGTATCAGCACCTTTAGTTAATAATAATATCTTTCCTTTTAACCCTCCTAAAGATCTGCTGCTGCTGCTGTTGTTGTTGCTGCTGTTGTTGTTGTTGTTGTTTGTAGCACCAGGAGCAGCAGCAGGTGCTGAATTTGCTGCTGCTGTTGCTGTTGCATTTGCTTCTTCTTCTTCATCTTCAAACCCTACATGCACTAGTATGCTGGATCTCTTACGTCTTGAAGTAAATTCAATTGAACAAAGTACTCTTACGGATGTCTTTCTTCCGAGGACAGACACAAACAAACCCTCAGAATGACGCCCAAGAAAAGATATCCCGAAGTGATGCGCAGCATAAACTAATGCACCTTCATCAGGGCTACTTGCTCCGTACCTGTAACATAAATATATTTATTAATCTAATTAATTAATTATTTTATTAATTAATTAGTTAATTAATTAATTAATTATTTAATTAGTTAATTTAATTAATTAATTGGTTAATTTATTAGTTAATTAATTAATTAATTAATTAATTAGTTAATTAATTACTTAATTAATTACTTAATTAATTAGTTAATTAATTAGTTAAATTAATTAATTGGTCAATTAATTGTTTAGTTAAAATAAATAAATAATTAATTAATTAGTTAATTAATTAATTGGTTAATTAATTGTTTAGTCTATTGAATGCCTTAGGGTTTAGGGTTTAGGGTTTAGGGTTTGTCTGACGTGGCCCCTCCATCTTCAGCAGTTTCGCAGATAACTGAGTGGTTTACAGCTAAATGAAAGAAGAAACGAACAGCATGCGCATGCAGAGGGTTTGTCGCATCAAGCAGATGCTCTCTTAATCGTGCATCTGATATTTGTACATGTGGTGTTTGAGGTTCTCCCGGGACTGCATAAACAATTCACAAACACTAAATTAGGGTTTTAATGCACTCTTCTACATTACCCCAATGTATATACACCCTATTAAACCATAAACCCTAAACCCTAAACCCTAAACCCTCAAAAGGCAAAAACAGAGGGTTTAAATACACTCTTTTGCATACTCCCAATGTATATACTACCTCTTAAACCCTTAGCGGCTATTATCATAAACCCTAAACCCTAAACCCTAAACCCTAAACCCTCAAACGGCAAAAACAGAGGGTTTAAATGCAGTCTTTTGCATGTTCCCAATGTATATTAACCCTCGCAAACCATCAGCAATAACATGAATAAACGATAAACCCTAAACCCTAAACCCTAAACCCTAAACCGTAAACCCTAAGCAGCAACTCACTGGGCGGAGGCTCAGGGGGTAAGGGCTTCCCGAGGCGATGAAGGACCTGCCTTCTGATGTCAGTTAAACCCCTTCCATAGCAAAACCCTAATCACAAACCCTAAACCCTAGCTAAACCCTAAACCCTAAACCCTAAACCCTAAACCCTAATCAAAGGCGCAAACAGTGGCAGCGAATTTTATACAGTCCTAGACAGGGTTTAATTAGGGTTTAGGGTTTGCATTAGAAACCTGGGGGCTGGAATAGCATCGGGCTAGGGTTACATTAGGGTTTAGGGTTTAGGGTTTAGGGTTTACCTTTGATGCAGCACTTTCTGAATTCCATGAAGTTTTTTGTTAATGTCCCGGTCTTATCCGAAAAAAGATATCCAACTTGACCTAACTCTTCATTTAAATCGCTCGTTCGAGGCCACGCCCCTTGCTGCAGCTCCCCTGCAGCAGCAGCAGCAGCAGCAGCAGCAGCAGCAACAGCATGGAGAGCGAAGTGCAGCAGCAGCAACAACAGCACCTCCTGCAACAGGGGGCTAAACCCTAAACCCTAAACCCTAAACTCTAAACCCACAGCAGGAGCAGATGCAGCAGAGGCGTAAGAGCAGCTGCAGCAGAGCTGTAGCAACAGCAGCAACAACGACAGCTGCAATAGCAGCAGCAGCAGCAGCAGAAGCAGCAGCAGCAAAGTTGTATACCTTTTGAATTAGCAAGTGCAGGAGAGATTGTTAGATGTTTACTATGTATATGATTTGCTGCTGATGATGGTGCTGAAGATGCAGGTGCAGGAGGAGGAAGAGCAGCAGGAGCAGCAGCAGGAGCAGCAGCAGCAGCAGCAGCTTGTGGTGCTGCAGTTGGTGAAGCAGCAGCAAGGTGCATGCGATTGGCTGCAGCAAAATATATTTTTTTTTCTTTTATCTCTCCTTGTGCTGCTATCATATCTTCATCTTTAAATATAAAAAATGCTTGCAAGGCCTTAACCATACCCATCTGTACAACGAGCGATATAGGGACCATATTGCACGTTAAGACCATCCAAGTAAAGAAGCTTACAAACCCTAAAAACATAATCACAAACCCTAAACCCTAAACCCTAAAATATAATCCAAATATTCAAACCCTACCATTCTAACCCTTATTATCCTACTAAAGAATACAAAACCCTAAACCCTCATCTATCATACACCCTATAATACTCATTTTGCACGCTTAAACCATCCAAGTAAAAAAACTTACAAACCCTAAACCCTAAACCCTAAACCCTAGAAAGATAACAACAACCAACAAACCCTAAACCCTAAACCCTAATCTGCCCCGAGCAAAATCCCTTACCAATAGCCCCACAATAAACCCTAAACCCTAAACCCTAAACCCTAAACCCTAAACCCTAACCCCCCCAACCGCCCAAACCCCTAAACCGTAAACCCTAAACCCTGATCTGGCCCGAGAAAAAATCCCTAGCCCCACAATAAACCCTAAACCCTAAACCCTAAACCCTAACCCCTCCAACCGCCCAAACGCCCAAACCCCTAAACCCTAAACCCTAAACCCTAAATAAGTGTTTCTTACAGAAGAGTGTAGCAGATTGTTTGCCTTGTTGAATGAACTGTTTGTAAAAAGCTCTTTGAGGATCCCACAGTACAAAAGCGAGATGAAGAAAAGCAGCAAGAAAGCAAAGAAAGACTTGTAGTGCCCACACTGTTAAAGTTAAACGGTTTGTTAGCCGCTCTACTCGGGAAACCTTACGAGGCGAACTCCCGCTGTTCTGAACATTTACAAGCAATCAACTACCAACTACTAACCCTAAACCCTAAACCCTAAACCCTAAACCCTAAACAGGAAATAATAAACAAGAAACAAGAAACAGTATGCAATAAACCCTAAACAATAAACAATAAACAATAAACAATTAATAATTAGCAATAAACAATAAACAATAAACAATAAACCCTAACAATAAACAATTAACAATAAACAATTAATAATTAGCAATAAACAATAAACAATAAACAATAAACCCTAACAATAAACAATTAACAATAAACAATAAACCCTAAACAATACGCAATAAACAATAAACAATTAACAATAAACAATAAACAATAAACAATTAACAATAAACAATAAACAAGAAACAAGAAACAAGAAACAATAAACAATAAACAATAAACAATAAACAAGAATCAAGAGACGAGGAGCAATCAAGAAGAAACAATCAACAATAAACAACAGCCCGAAAACAACAAACCAAAAGCAAACAAACCCTAAACCCTAAACCCTAAACCCTAAACCCTAAACCCTAAACAATATACCCTAAACAGGAAACAATAAACAAATAAACAAACAATAAACCCTAAACCCTAAACCCTAAACAATAAACAGGAAACAATAAACAAATAAACAAACAATAAACCCTAAACCCTAAACCCTAAACCCTAAACCCTGAAGGATTACCATTTGTATTCGAGTTTGTTTGCCTGTATACACCGCGAGGCCTACAACCCATTCAGTATTTCTTAGTTTGCATCCTCTTAAGAGTATTTGAGCATGACTAACAGGAAAGGGTTTAGGGTTTGCTGCTGCAGCTGCTGCAGCTGCTGCAGCAGCTGCAGCAGCAGCAGCAGCAGCAGCAGGCCCCACAACACTCGCCGGGTGTATATACAGCAAACCATCAAATGCACCGATGTCTCGGCTCGGCTGCTGCGTAACTAAGCGTCCCTGCAGCATCTTTGCTGCAGCAACAGCAGCAGGAAGGTGCAGAGGGAGTAGATTGCTCATCCCGCTTGCTGTTTGTTTTAACTTTAAATTCGTCTCGCCGTCTAAACTACTTGTCTCTATAAACGCTAAACCCTTAGGGTCTGAAGAACCCAGCAGCAGCAAGTCTGCAGCAAATGCTTCGTTCTTCTTACAAACGACCAAATCTCCTAAGCGTAGATCTCGCCATCGTCTTTTTATCAAACCGCAGGAAGCAAAACCCTCGCTTTCATCCTCATCCTCTTCCTGCTGCTGCTGCTGCTGCTGCTGCTGCTGATCCTGCTGGTTATGATGATGCCGATTATGTCGCTGCTGCTGCTGCTGCTGCTGCTGCAGCAAAGCATCTCTATCGTTGTCCTCCTCAGATATATTCGACTCACGTATTGAAGAACCACTTGCTGCTGCTGCTGCTGCTGCTGCTGCTTTTTGCTGCTGCTGCCGCTTCTTTAATGATACCTCTGCCGCTTCTGCTGCGTTACGCGGAAGCGTATGCGTCATCTGCACAAACCCTAAACCCTAAACACTAAACCCTAAACCCTAAACCCTAAACCCTTTTTGATGGGAAGAGATATGCAGAAGGAAAGGTTTCAGGTGCTGCATATGAGGGGTTAACGCAGTGTAAGCCAAACCTCCAACGACAACCTAGGGTTTAGGGTTTAGGGTTTAGGGTTTAGGGTTTACTTGGTGGTTTTCAAGTCGATCAGACTGATGACGCTGAATATCTTCATATGCATCTTTGCATGCATTTACTGTCACAACAACTGCCAGCGGAAGAGCTAGAGTAGGGGTCCCGTTAGTGGTTGATATCTGAGAAACAAAACGAGGGTTTAGGGTTTAGGGTTTAGGGTTTGGGGGTGGTGGGCTAGCAAGGTAAAGGGTTTAGGGTTTAACGGTTGTTCGTTTACTTGCATACAGCCCTTTAGAACTACAGGCTTGCATTCAAGGGTTTAGGGCTTAGGGTTTGCAGACGATGGTTTAGGGTTTAGGGTTTAGGGTTTGGAGACGAGGGTTTAGGGTCTACATATGCATCAAAAAATTAGAGTTTAATGCATGCAAATGAGAACTCAATTTTGCGCAAGGAGACAGATACATGCGCCTAGGGCCTACAACTTAAGGTTTAGTTAGGGTTTAGGGTTTAGGGTTTAGGGTTTAGGGTTTAGGGTTTAGGGTTTACCGCGGGTATACACTGAAGGGCGCAGATAACAATAAAATAAACGTTCGAAGTTTTTTGAAACTGCTCCCACAAATTCTTAGGCACGAAATTCCATAGGGTGTATTTCGAAGTCACCTAAACCACAAACCCTAAACCCTAAACCCTAAACCCTAAACCCTAAACCCTAAACCCGAAACCCTAAACCCTAAACCCTAAACCCTAATGCAAGCCAGTGGCTGTTCACCCAAAAGTACAGTCATGCGCGTTAAGAAGTGGGGTGAAAGTAAGGGGGTTGTCAAACTAGGGTTTAGGGTTTAGGGTTTAGTGTCTAGGGTTTAGGATCTAGGGTTTAGGGTTTAGCGTCTTGGGTTTAGGGTTTAGCGTCTTGGGTTTAGGGTTTAGGGTCTAGGGTTTAGGGCCTAGGGTTTAGGGTCTCACCACTTCATTGCTGCAGCTCTCCTGCGTCTGGCGGGCGTTCAGGTGGACGATCCAGTCATCTTCAGGGTTGCTGCAAACCACAAACCCTAAACCCTAAACCCTAAACCCTAAACCCTAAAGCCTTCATTCCACACCAAGACCAAGCCCTCTACCCTCCGCCGTTTTGCATCATGATAAACCCTAAGCCTAAAACCCTAAACCCTCGACGGTCACCCGCGCCAAACCCTAAACCCTAAGCCCTGAACCCTAAACCCTAAACCCTAAACCCTAAACCCTAACCCCCCAGGGGGCTTACATCTTCTTTCTTCCCCAGACATTCCCCATTGTCAGCCTCAGCAAATAATATATCCGAAAGAGATGTCTTTTATTCTCTTTCTTCTGGTGTACGTACACCTCAAGGGTTTGAGGTATTACGTGCTGCTGTCTCGAAGGGAACCCTAAACCCTAAACCCTAAACCCTAAACCCTCAACCCTTGAAGGTTGAAGGCCAGCCTGTTGCTGCTCCGGCGCTGAAGGCGCCCGGCGCAGCTCATACCCTCATATGAGCCGCCAGAAGTTCAAAAGCCCTAAACCCTAAACCCTAAACCCTAAACCCTGGACCGGCGTCCTGGAGGATCATCTCGGTAGTGGTTTAGAAGATAAGAGGGTGTAGAATTCAATTAAAGTATTAAATAATACAGTTAAAATTCTATAAAATAAAGAAATTAAAACATGTTGAGTGATGTTGTTTCTACAAGAAAAACCTCTACTCATAGCTGCGCATACACCGCAATGGGGACGGCTCTCTGTCTAACCCCTGAGAGATATATATGTTTAGATATACCAACAAAATTCTTTAAAAATGCATTTTTTGAGTTTTAAAATGTATTTTTTAAAGAAAAACTCCTTAAAATATACCCTTTGTTCGGGTGTATATGCAGCTCTAATGAAAAAAAGCTGCGGTGTATGTACATACATATATATAACATACACAGGAGATGTTGTTGAAGCTTTTTAGTCGGAGGGTTATATTATTGTAGGAGAATAATTCTTAATTTAAATATAAAATAATTCTTTTTAATTATTTAATTTATATTAAATAAAAGACAGACCCTTAAAGAAATCTTATTCATTATATTCGATCGCTCGCGCGGTGTACATGCAGCTTTTTGCTGCATCTGTCTGGAGAACTTTTCTGCGCTTTTCCATTCAAAAAGAATATTAATAGAAGGCTTTATGATTCAATAACAATTGTCTATACTCATAGTGCATGCAGCACTTCTTCTCGCACACAGATTGTCTATAGAAACGGCAGGGTAACACTTCAAATATATTATTAGGGTTTAGGGTTTAGGGTTTAAAGCGGAGGAGAGGGTTGCAGCAAGAGATGTGACGAACCCTCCTCTTCTTATAATCATCACCTCTTGAGAGGGAGTGCTAGCTTCACCGCCAGCTCTAAACCCTAAACCCTAAACCCTAAACCCTAAACCCTAAACCCTTGCTGAGCATTATTAGCTTGATATACTTCTTTCTTTTCTCTTATTTAGGGTTTTGTGTTTTTAATTATAAGCAGTTGTTATTATAATAATAAATAAGAATAATAAAGTCGAACACTATTGATATAAATATATATATTAATAAAAACTTATAAAGTATTAACAAACAATGTTATTTACACTGTATCAATGAGTAATTTATAATTAATTAAAAGTTAATTAATTATAATTAAATAAAACTATTAATTAATTATAATTAAATAAAACTAAGTGCAGACAGCTGAAGTATAGAAAAGTTAAAGATGTCTTTAATATAATATTTTTATTTAATATCTTTTTATATTAGGCCTTCGTATTAACTCTTAGTAAATGTTTATTTTTTATACTCCCTCAACATTTGCTGAAAATATATTTAGAAAGCCTCATAAAAAACAAACAAAAGCGAGAAAAACAAATGTTAATTATGCTGCATGCATGCAGCTAAAATATGTTGCAGCTGCAGATACACCTCGAGGTGTATACGCAGCAAAAGCCCTCAGACTGTCTCCTCTCCCTTAGACTAAAAACATTTTCTGCTGCTGTGCCCGAGGAGGCCAGCTGCTGCTGCTGCTGCTGCTGCTACTTCTGCTGCTGCTGCTGCTACTGCTGCTACTTCTGCTGCAGCTGCTGCTACTGCTGCTGCTGCTGATGTAGGAGACTGCTACATTACTTCAAAGAAGATTTCTCGCAAATGTTGAGGGCTAGCGCCTTCATACTTGTTAACACCGTAAGCTTTATTGCTGCTGCTGCTGCTGTTCCTGCTGCTGCTGCACTTGCTGCTGCTGCTGCACTTGCTGCTGCTGCTGCACTTGCTGCTGCTGCTGCTACTGCTGGTGCTGGTATTGCTGCTGCTGCTGCTGCTCCTGCTGCTGTCGATGTTGCTGCTGCTGGTGCAGCTGCAGCAGGAAGGCCTCCCTTTAGGTCTCCTCTTTGAAGCAGCAAGAAGGATGGCAGCAAAAAGCATGCAGCATATTATAAGTGCAACAGCAGCAGCAGCAGTAGCAGCAGTAGCAGCAGCAGCAGTCGCAGCAGCA